ACCACTGGCCTCATCCCATGTCCAACCCTCCTCCTCAACCTGACATTATCTGTCCATCTTCTTCCCCACCCTTCCCACTGACCAATCCCCACTGCCCCTACTTGCATCCACCTATTGCCATCCCACCTACCTTACCCAGCCCCACCCCTCCTCCCTCTCTTTATTTCCCAGCTCCTTGCTCTCTTCCCAGTCCTGATGAAAATCCAGGCCCGAAACATCAACTGTCCTGCTCCTCTGATGCTGCCTGACCTGCTGTGTTCCTTCAGCTTTACACTATATTGACATTCCATGCCATTGTAGTTTATTAATTTCTGCTTCTCAAGAATTTTTTTACAAGTTTGCTTTGTTTTAACTCCTGCTTGGCTGTAATGTGTCCTACTTTTCCAACCAACTAATTGATGCAACAGCTTTCGACACTCTTAATTTGAAGATGTACATTTTGAATATCACCATGACATGAACCTTGACTGACATGAATGTTACGTATAACTAGAGACTTATTTGTTGCTTTGATTTCTCTTGTGATTTGTCTTCTGCATTTATCTTATACCATGCTTTTGATTTATTTGATGTTACTTTATGTTTATGTTTGTGTTCTTCTCATTGTATTTCTTTTTATGCTGGGTAGGAGCTATTTATCGTGTGATGAAGGGTTCAGACAAAATGTTCCATCATTTACACAGAGGAAGCATGGTTTGCAGAAGTTTTGAATTGTGTGAATATCTTTTACTGTGTACTATGTTATGTTGAAGTCTACAGCCCCTTGTTATTGTCTCCATCAATGTTTACATGTTCAACTATCTGATGATTTCTAGTGTGGTGAATGAAAGAACCAGCGGATGGTAGCACACAATTCCCATCATTTATAGTGTTCAACTAGGCCATGTCTGGGCTTACTGACAACCTCTTAATAGGCAACCCTTTAATAGATAACTTCTAAAGGGGATGATCGTATGAGAAGCCTTGCCCATATCATGTACATGAAAACGAAACATCAATGATATCCAGTAAGCGTGATTGTGGAAGAGCCCTTTTTTTAATATTGTGCGCATGTATAATTTATTCAATGATACCGTAAAAATGAGTAAAACTTCAATGTCTCTTACCTCCATCATGTGTACAAACAGGTTATTAACAGCTTTTTCAATGCTTAGAGCTATTTCAGGATTGAGTGTGTTAAGATCATTCCCTGGTCTGCTTGGAGAAGAAATTCTCCTTATTTTCTGTGGTTTACAGCTTCCTCAGATTTTTGCACACAGCATCCTTAGTTTTATGTACATAGAATCCCCTTTCATTAATAGGGATATAGAGTACAAGAGCAAAAACGTGATGTCAGATTATATAAGAGATTTATTACCCCTCAGCTGGAGAATTATGTACAGTTCTAGATGCCACACTATAGAAAGTAGGTAAACATACTGGAGAGAGTGCAGGAGTGGTTTGCAAGGATATTCCAGTTGTGAGGATAGATTGAAGAGGTTGAGACTGTTTTCTTTGAAGATAAGAAGGCTGAGAGGAAATCTGATTGAGGCTTTCAAAATTAAGGATGTGTGGAATATAGTAGATAGGGAGAAACTGTTCCCATGTTCTTGTTCCTTCCACACCAGAGGGTGTAGATTTAAAGTGATCTGCAAAAGAAGTAAAGGTGAAGTGAGGAAAAGCTTTATCCACTCAGTGAGTTGTTGGGATATGGAATATATTGCTTGGAAGTTTGGAGACCGGTTCAGTTGAGGCATTCAAGAGGGCATTAGATGATTATTTGGATAAAAATAGCATGCAAGAGTATGGGGAAATAACGGGGGATTGGCACTAGATAAGGGATGGCACAGGCACAATGGATTGAATAGTTTCCTCCTTTATTGTACCACTTCTGTGATTTTATTTCTGAACTGTGTTCATAATTCATCTTCTTTCAGTGTAAATTTATTACTCCGTGAGTAAGGACACCAGAATTGTACACAGTACTTTTGGTGCTTCTCACTAATGCCTGTACAGGTGTAACAAGACTGATACGTTTATATATTCCTTCCCCTTACAATAAATATCAATGTTCCATTTGTCTTCCTAATTATCTGCTGTTAACATGAGTGGTTCCACCATCATATAACACATTCAATTTTTGCAACTAATCCAGTAGTGTGACCATTGAGTAGAAGTCCATTGAGTGAAGTAGATTGTGTGTGAGAGAGTGAGAGAAGTTTTCAGAAATTAGAAGTTCATGGATGAAAAGAGGTCAATTCATGTCTTTAAGCAGCGTGTTGAAAGCGATTGTATTGATTCAAGTGGGAGCTGCAAGTTTTTAGATGATTATTGATACTTAAAAAAAAATATCATTTGCATTAAGGAGAAATCAAAAATATGTATTGTAAAGAGAGAGGGGAGTGTATAATTGAAGAGATCAGAGACCAGTAGCCTGAAAGAGAGAGGGAGAGGAGGGTAATAAAAAAAATTTGCATTTATTGAGTGCATATCATGACCTAGGATATCTTAGTGCTTCATGGATAATTTCTCCACAGCAAGATCCACAAACAACAAGGAGATCAATTTTAGCTGGTTTGGTTATTGAATAACTTCTGCCCTGGGAAATTTCTGTGCAATACAAACAGTGCTGTGGGATCTTCCAAGCTCAGCTTAGACAGGCCTTGTTGAAGGGATGAATCAGTTCCCCTCTCTTTAACCTCCTCAATTGGCTGCAACAAAAATTTAATGACATTTTTACAATGCAGCTAAATCTCCCTCCCCATGAAAATGTAGTTAACTAGTTTGACGTAAAATAAGAAGCCAATTGCAAAGGTGTAAGAACAATTTTAATAGTTGCTAACTCGGATTAAAGATAATAGACTTGACATAAACATACAAACACTGGTATAAGTTAAAAAGAGGATGGTGTCCAGTGTAAAAATAAACAACATAAAAGAACATGCAGTTTAAAGTCCTTGAGGTGTCAGGTTTTAACCTGTGACCACAGTTGGTTAATGGTTTCCTGGATCAACCTCAGTCATGAATCATAGAATCATACAGTACAGAAACGGGCTGTTTGGCCCGCCATGTCTATGCTGACCAACAAACACCAAACTGCACTAATCCCATTTACCTATAGTTGGTCCATAGCTTACTGTGCCCTGGCATTTTAAGTACTCATCATCTTCAATGTTCCAAGTGTGTCTGCCTCCACTACCCCCTTAGGCAGTACATTCCATATTTTTAACCACCCTCTGGGTGAACAAGTTCTTTCTCAGATCTCCTCTAAAGCACTTGCTCCTCACCTTAAACTTACGCCTTCTGGTCTTAGTCATATCTGTTAACAGGAAGGGATTCTCTCAATCCATACCTCTCATAATTTTGTATACCTCAATCACATCTGCCCTGCTGCAGGGAAAACAAATCCAGCCTATCCAGTCAGTCCTCAAAACTGTGACTTTTCATCCCAGAAAACATCTGGTGAATCACCTGCGGACCCTCTCCGGTAGTGCGCTGACCAGAACTGCACACGGTATGCCTCTGCGGCCTCGCTCCTATATTCTATGCCTTCATCGCCACACTTCCCTGTGCTGACCCCTTCAGAGATCTGTGGAATTGTATACTAGGGTCCCTTTGTTCCTAAGTACTTACTAGGGATCTACCATTCATTGTGTGTGTCCTTCCCATATTTCAAAATGCATCGCGCTTTATCAAGAGTAAATTACATTTGCCATTGCTGTATCCAGTTACCAACTGATCAATATCTGATTGTTACCTGACACCATCCTCTTCACTATCAACAACACCATCAATTTTTGAGTCGTCTGCAAACTTAATTATATAATTATGTGGGAGATAACGATGTGTAAGAGCTGGATGAACACAGCAGGCCAAGCAGCATCAGAGGAGCAGGAAAGCTGACGTTTCGGGCCTAGACCCTTACTATCTCTATATAATTATGCCTTCAGCATTCACATTCAAGTCTTTTATATAAATAATAACCAGCAAGGACCCAGCACTGAACCCTGTGGTATACCACTGGTCACAGGCTTCCAGTTTTATAAAAACAACCCTCCACCATCACTCTTTGCTTCCTATTGCAAGCCAATTTTGGATCCAATTAGCCAACTTGCTTTGGAACCAAGTATTTTTGCCCTTTGGACTAGTCTTGTCAAAGGCCATACTGAATTCCATTTAAACCATATCACTGTACTACCCTCATCTATGTATTTAGTCACTGCTTCAAAATACTCAAACAGACTGGATCTCCCTGTAACAAATCTATTTTATTCACTGATGTGCAAATGAGCATTTTTTTTGAAGGCAGTACTTATAGAAGAGAAATTGATATTTTAATTTACAATGGGATTACAGGGCTGACTCTCTTAAAATGGAATGGACTGTCATGAGTGCTACAAATGTTTGTTAATAATGAAAGCAGCAATAGTAACTAAAATACAAGGAGGTAAAAGAATGGATAAATTATCAAAGTCCCAAATTCTGCACTAAAATTGGAATTGGAAAACAAGAGTTGACTTAGAAAGGGAGAGAAGAGCAAATGAATGACATAGGATTTTTCTTATTCAGTCATGGGATGCAGACATCGCTGGCTGGGCCAGCATTTATTGCTGATCTCTCGTTGCCCCTTGAGAAGATGGTGATGAACTATCTTCTTGAATGGTTGCAGAAGTTTCAGTCAGTGGCTTGGAGAGGATGATGGTGTTCCCATGTAAACTGATTACATTTTTAATGAGCAGGAATGATTCATTGTTTATACAAAATAATGATTTGTAGTTTAGCTATCCTAATGTTTCTCTTTGTGTAGCATTGGATATCAGATATCTGTGTGTAAATTCAGGCAATAAATTGCTAAATCGCAAGTCTTAGCAAAAATTAGATCAGACTGGCAGTGGACAAAAAGGGATTTAGCTTAATTTTTCTCAAGAGCATTTTTCCTAGCCTTGAGCCATATAGTAAGTACTTTGGTATTTTGTCAGTAACTAGGTCAATCATGTTTATGCTGATTCTATTACATCATACGTTCCCTATATAATATGTGATGAGAAATGTAAACATGTACAAAATGTTCTTGGCATTGACATAAAATAGTCTTAGCTATTGCAGTTCTACCTTCGTATTTCTCCACTTTCTTTTTGCCCTTTATTTTGACAGGCATACTTGCCAACTTTAACATTTTAAATGCTCCAACATATACATTTTAAGCATCAATATAGCAAATGGAGCATGGAGAATAAGAGGGTTAATATCATAAAGCCATAAGACATAAGAGCAGAATAAGGTCATTTGGCCCATCGAATCTGCTCCGCTATTCGATCATGGCTGATGTATTTCCAAACCCCATTCTCGTGCCTTCTCCTGGTAACACTTGATCTCATACCAATCAAGAACCTATCTATCTGTCTTAAATACACTTAATGACTTGGCCTCCACAGATTAACCACCCTCTGGCTCAAGAAATTCCTCCTTTTCTCAATTCTAAAGGGTCATCCCTTCACTCTGAATCTATGCCCTCAGGTCCTACTCTCTCCTACTAGTGGAAACATTTTCTCCACATCCACTTTATCCAGGCAGCTCCATAAGCTGTAAGTTATAAATATTTCCCCCCTTGTCCTTCTAAACTTCACTGAGTACTAACTTTAACAGGGTCGATTTTGCTATAGAGAGCTGAACAGATACAAAAAGGGTTTTAATTGAATTTTGAGTTATCGGCATGGAACTGGCTGCAAGGCTTTGGAGTTTGAAAATGGGATAGATAGGTGGAGGGACTGACTGGGTTGTGAGTAAACGTTTTGCAGCAGCTTCTAATACAATAACAGTTTAGAAAGGAAAAGAGAAGGAACTGATGGAAGGGAACACACTGACTACTTCAAGAAGAGGAAGATTTTGCTACAAAAAGTAAACCAATTTTTAGAAATAAATTGTAGTAACTATATTTTCATATACATATGTGTTTGCAGCTATTAAAGTTATCACTGGCACAATTGACAACTGGAAGATAGAAATGTCCCATTTTTTATCCCTCCCAAATGAATTGTGGTTAGAATACAGCTGGTAATATTTGCTATAACAAGGTGTGGAGCTGGATGAACACAGCAGGCCAGGCAGCATCGGAGGAGCAGGAAAGCTGACATTTTGGGTCTGGACCCTTCTTCAGAAATGGCTTTTTGGAATTTTAATCACAATTACAATTAAACACTGAACAAAACTTGCAGATTGCTGTACATTTTAAGCTAGTCAATGATAATGAGAATTTCAAGCAAAAGAAGGGTTGCACATACCCTCTAAAATGTTCTTAGATTGACACAATATAGTCTGAAAACCGCCCAAAATAGTGTTTACAGCTCCCTGAAACAAAATAAAATATTGTGAAATGAGACTAGAAGAAAAATGAACATAGACAATGTTACATCAAATATAGACAACAGAAACCTCTGATACTTCAAAGCTAGAACAGCTCAAGCCCCACTTCCCATTTCTGAAGAAGGGTCCAGACATGAAACGTCAGCTTTCCTGCTCCTCTGATGCTGCCTGGCCTGCTGTGTTCATCCAGCTCTACACCTTGTTATCTCAGATTCTCCAGCATCGGCAGTTCTTACTATCTCTGGTAATATGTGCTATTTATTTTGAGTTGTCAGTTTGATATAAATAATTTTAACTGTTCATGTATTGCTCTTCATTGGGGTTTAGGCAGATCTACTTTTCTCATCTACTTTAAGCCATAATGAGATTTGTGTACTGTCCTTTTGTTCTAACTTTACCAGTAATCCCAAATGTATGCTGGAGAAAAATACAATATGTAACTGCTTTCTTTCCTCTCTGGTACAGATGTGAGACAAGAACACTTGCCTTTAGTTAAGTCATCGGGTTATCTCTCCAGTAATGCTGAGGGTACTACACAGAGAGAATTGATATATCCTGAGATCTGTATGTTAGAACTCACCCTACTGTCTGTTGGCAATCCCAGCCTTGAAGTTCTAATCCACGTCTTCAGAAGTCTGCTCAAGATTGTACAACACAGTGAAAAAAATGCTACATCTGTTTATCAGCAGGTAGAACAAACAAAAGCTGTCTGTTAATGCAAAAAGCGCAGTTTATATACGACTTAATTTTTCAAAAAAATCATTTATGTTGAAAATGTCAAAATATTCAATTTTAAGCAGTGTAAATTTAAAAAATAAAAAACACTGGAAATGTTTTTACATGGAAAACATTTGATAAGTTAAATAACATTGTGTTTGATTTAACAGGGATTGACTGACTGTAGTTTGAGTTTGTTATTCTGCTTTCCCGTCAACTGGAATTGCAATTGCTTCCTGTGCCATTTCAGACTCTGATTTAGAACCTAAATTCTTCATGATTACATAGAAATTACAGCACACTGAGGCCATTTGGCTCACCTGTCTGTGCCAGCCTTTATATTCTGTGCAAATCTCCTCCCAGCTGACTTTATATTACCCGATTGGCGTATTTTTCTGTTGCTTTTCAGAAATTTAAAGAAATATTGACAGATTCGGGGTGAATAATTTAGGCTGGGACAGATTCAGTTTAGAGCACTCTCCTCGTGCATTCTACTTAAAACATTTTTAATTGTGGGAACATTGTCTGGGAAGAGGAAAGTATCATTTATTTTGTGAAAGCAGACAGCTGAAACTAGCAGGTTGGGCCTACTAACTGTGCAGAAACTCAGTTGAATTATGTCATGGTTTGTAGGATATCCATCTTTCAGTACTTTGTGTAAGATTTCTGTCTTCTGAAGTCTTCATTGTGAATCCATTTCCGCTGTAAAAGTGGGGCTTCAGCTGTTCTAGCTTTGAAGTATCAGAGGTTTTTGTTATTTATATTTGATGTAACATTGTCGGTGTTCATTTTTCTTCTAGTCTCATTTCACAATATTTTATTTTGTTTCAGGGAGCTGTAAAAACTATTTTGGGAGGTTTTCAGACTATATTGTGTCAATCTAAGAACATTTTAGAGGGTATGTGCAACCTTTCTTTTGCTTGAAATTCTCATTATCATTGACTAGCTTAAAATGTACAGCAATCTGCAAGTTTTGTTCAGTGTTTAATTGTAATTGTGATTAAAATTCCAAGTTTCTGAAACGGTTTACTTTTGTTTATGCAGAGTGCCAGGCAGAGCTCGTGGAATTGTTGGTGACTCTGATCACCTCCAGGTTATCAGCAGAAGAGTTGACACTCTTTCTGAGACTGTTTTTAGAGAAAACCCCTCCAACTGTGAGTGGACTGTCTGCCTTATTTTCCGAAGATGCTTTTCAAAACAGATGACAGCACCCTCAAATGAAGATGGCAAAGTAGAGGTTTAGTTTGCCAACAGCAATTCAGTGTTACAGGGCAGTTCTAGGAGAAATTGACATACATAGAATTGTATTCAGAGTAACAGAAAAAGTAACTATAAAATACATGAAAAGTGCAAATTTTCAAAGTGCAAAAACTTCTGTGGTTTGAAGGAGAAGTCGTTGCAAAGCTGACAACTGTTTACACTGTTTAGGGGCTTTGGAAGAGGTCATAGGATCATAGTGCAGAAAGAAGCCATTCTGCCCATTGAGTCTGCACCAACACTCTGAAGAGCATCCCATGAAGAATAATCCCTCCCCCATCCCTACATTTACCATGACTAATCCATCTAGCCTACATATCCCTGGACATTAAAGGGCAATTTAGCATGGCCAGTCCACCTAACCTGCATGTCTTTGGGCTGTGGAAGGAAACCAGAACATTTGGTAAAGGCCATGCAGACATGGGGAGAATGTGCAAACTCCACACAGACAGTCACCCAAGACTAGAATTGAACTCTGGGCTCTGGCACTGTGAGGCAGCAGTGCTAACTGCTGAGCCACTATGCTCCTTTAGTATAGCAAAAACATTCCTGTGTGATTCACAGAGGCATAAAGATAAAATGGACACTAAGCCTAAGGAGGAAGAGTGATCAAAGATGTGTTATATGATATATGTGTGGCAAATATGATTTGCAATTCAGTTGCTTTATGCTGTGGGACTTCTCTTGGTGCTTTTTCTTTTAACCTACTTTTTTCATCAACCTATTCAGAGATGTTATTACACACCTCTACAGCAGGTGGGTCTTGTACCAGGCGTCTTGGTTCAAAGGTAGGACACCACGACAGCAACACAAGAGGACCCGTCTTGGTGCTTTTAAAATTTGCTGTTCTTTAATTTTGTGTAGATACAAATTGGCCATTTGGTAATTGAGTGTTTGATCGGCATTATGAGCCTAGCTTCAGGAACTTAGGAAGATAGCTCATTCAGATCTTCTTCACTAAGTTAGGGCCATATCAAACTCTGATCATTTTGGGTTGTTGCAACTGTTCATGGTATGAAATCACAGACCTGTTGAAGGCATCCTGATTGCTTTACTTTTCCAGGGTGTTAAAAGGAAATTAGGGATTCAATTTAGTGAATTTATTACCCAGTTTATTTGAAACAGGTGACGGTACTCAAATTGAGCAAGAAAAATCCCTATTTTCTCGAGTTGTGTCATAAATCTCTGAACAGGTTGGTTAGAAAAATGGTTTAATAAAAATAGGGCAACTACATTTGGGAATGTATTAGGTCACAATCCCAAAGCAGCTCCATGGTCTTTTCCCAGAGCCCCCGCTCATTAACCAAGACAGACAATTCTGCCCAAGAAAAGCAAAAATCCTTATTTTGGGGGCCCTATTGCAACACAGTGGCCATGTCCTTATCCTTACTGAACTGAGTGGTTTGGGCTCAAGTCTCACCTGCTCCAGAGGTCTGTAATAACATCTATGAAAACAGGTTGATTAGAGAAATAGGTTAAATTTTTAAAAATCCCTATTTGAAAAAAGTAAAATGCTACATTGGAAAACCCTGGAAGCTGACTGGTGATATATAGCCTTGTACCAAAATATCTTGTGTACTTCAGCCAGTAACTATATTCTAATATCCAATATAAATGAAGATGAAACAATTATTTAGCAAATATTCATTTGAAGTCAGTGCATCAATTTTTGCTGATGTTAAAAAGAAAGAAAAGGATTGAAGTTTGGCACCAGGAAGAATGAAGATCAACGAGCTAAAACAGTATTCTGTACAATCGCTTAACATTTGTTCTGCACCTTATTACACCATCATATATTGTGACCTCTCTTTATTAGGCTTTCCAAAGATTCTAGAGTAACCCGTATTCCATTAAATAGATGAAAATTTTGGAGCACTATTTTCAACAGAATGCAGCAAATACAATAAATTATCCGGATTTGCAATTGAATATTTTTAAAAATATTGTTTTTCTTATATTTCAGAAGATACTACTTAGAGGGATTCTGAGAATAGCAGAAGCAAATGTTGATATGCTCCCAATGCATTACCTTACCTTCCCAACAGAATTCAGCACAGATATTTTCAGTACCATTCCAGCCATGCAGAAAACCAATTCTGCTGCCAGCAGCAAGAACTCCGGCCTTCTAAGGCGAGTGAAATTTCCACAGAGCAAGAGAAATACAGAATTTGAAGGATATACCCACCGATTGTCTTCACCTTGGCATGTGGCTCCACTCCATTTGCCACTTGTTGGTCAGAACTGTTGGCCAAATATGTCAGATGGCTTTAGTGTCTCTCTATGGTTAAAAGTGGAAGTCACCAACGCAACGGACAAGTCACTTGAGAAAGATAGGAAACAAAGACGATATCAGCTAACTACATTCAGAGAGAGTAGTTTTGAAGGCATGGGTAAGAATAGAATTCAATTTTCACTTTTTTTTTGCAAATTTATAAATGAATTAACGACTTGTTTTGTATGTCCTGCATTACAACAATTACATTGTAAATATACTTAATTGACTGAAAAACACTTTGGGATATTCTGATGTCGTGAAAGAGCCTTTCCAAACATAGGTTCTTTCTTCTTTGTTGTATTCTTGTATTGTGCGGAAAATCTTTGTGCAACTTTTCAGCAACATACTTCAGCAAAATGCCAGAAAAAGTGTATTGTTTTTCTGTCTGAAATGAAAGACAAAAGACATGACATTGGCATCTCTCTCAGTAACAGCAGCTATTTGTTATGGCATAATTACATATATTCTTGGCTTGGGTACCAGTTAAGGTCCTAACCTAGTATTTGCATATAGAGCCATAAAGATGTACAGCATGGAAACAGACCCTTCCGTCCAACTTGTCCATGTGGACCAGATGTCCTAAATTAATCTAGTTCCATTTACTGGCATTTAGCCCATAATTCCCTGTAAACCCTTCCTATTCATATACTCATCCACATGCCTTTTAAATGTTACAATTGTACCAGCCTCCACAATTTCCTCTGGCAACTCACTCCATGCACGCATCACCCTCTGTGTGAAAAATATTGCCCCTTATGTCCCTTTTAACTCTTTCCCCTCTCATCTTAAACCTATGCCCTCTACTTTTGGTCTCCCATACCCTGGGGAAAAGACCTTGACGATTCATCCTATCTATGCCCCTCCTGATTTTATAAACTTCTTTCAGGTCACCACTCAACCTCCATCTCAGGGAAATTAGCCCAAGCCTATTCAGCCTCTCCCTATAGCTCAAACCCTCCAATCCTGGCAACATCCTAGTAGATCTTTTCTGAACCCTTTCAAGTTTCACAACATCCTTCCTATAGCAGGGATACCAGAATTGAACTCGGTATTCCAAAAATGGCTTAACCGATGTCCTGTATAGCCACAATATGACCTCCCAACTCCTATACTCAATGCACTGACCAATAAAGGCAAACACACCAAACGTCGCCTTCACTATCCTGTCTACCTGCGAAACTGCTTTCAAGAGACTATGAACCTGCACTCCAAGGTCTCTTTGTTCGGCAATACTCCCCAGGACCTTACCATTAAGTGTATAAGTTTCTGCCCTGATTTGCCTTACCAAAGTGCAGCATCTCACATTTATCTAAATTAAATTCCATCCGTCACTCCTTGGCCCATCTGATCAAGGGCCCTTTGTACTCAGAGGTAAAATTCTAGGCTGTCCACTACACCACCAATTTTTGTGTCATCTGCAAACTTACTAACATACCTCCTATATTCTTATCTAAATCACTTCTCTAAATGTGACTACAATAAATCAGATCAAATCAAAAAGCAGTGGACCCTGCACTGATCCTTGTGGCACACTGCTGGTCACAGGCCTCCAGTCCAAAAAGCAACACTCCAGCACCACCCTTTGTCTCCTACTTTCGAGCCAGTTCCATAGCCAGATGGCTAGTTATCCATGTATTCAATATGATCTGACCTCATTAACCAGTCTACCACTCTGAACCTTGTCAAACATCTTACTGAAGTCCATCCAGGCCACGTCCACTGCTCTGCCTTCTTCAATCCTCTTCTTCACTTCTTCAAATGACTTCCCCCACACAAAGCTATGTTGACTATCCCTAATCAGTCCTTGCCTTTCCAAATACATGTAAATCCTGTCCCTCAGAATCTCTACCAATAACTTGCCCACCACTGATGTCAGGCTCACCGGTCTATAGTTCCCAGGCCCTTCCTTACCACCTTAAATAGTGGCAGCACATTAGCCATCCTCCAGTCTTCTGGCACCTCACCAGTGGCTGTCAATGATACAGATACCTCAGCAAAGGTCCCAGAAGGCACTTCCCTAACTTCTGACAAAGTTCTAGGGCACACCTGATCAGGTGCTGGAGATTTATCCACCTTCTTGCATTTTAAAACATGCAGCACTTCCTCCTCTAATATAGACACTTCTCAAGATATCACTATTTATTTCCCCAAATTCTCTGGCTTCCGTATCTTTCTCCGCAGTAAACATTGATGCAAAATACTCATTTAGTATCTCACCCATCTCTTGCGGTTCCACACGTAGGCAGCCTCTGATCTTTAAGGGACCCTATTCTCTTCCTAAGTTACTCTTTAATCCTTAATGTATTAGTAGAAACCCTTTGGATTCTCCTTAACCCTATTTGCCAAATCTATCTCATGTCCCCTTTTTGCCATCCGGATTTCCCTCTTAAGTATACTTCTACTATCGGTGACCAGTGGTGTTCCATAGGGATCTGTTCTGGGACCTCTGCTCTTTGTGATCTATATAAATGACTTGGATGAGGAAGTGGAAGTGTGGGTTAGTAAGTTTGCTGATGACACAAAGGTTGGTGGAGTTGTGGACAGCGTGGAGGACTGTTGTAAGTTGCAACGGGACGTTGACAGAATGCAGAGCTGGGCAAAGAAGTGGCAGATGGAATTCGACCCAGCAAAGTGTGAAGTGATTCATTTTGGAAGGTCGAATTTGAATGCAGAATACAGGGTTAATGGCAGGATTCTTGGCAGTGTGGAGGAACAGAGGGATCTTGGGGTCCACATCCATAGATCCTTCAAAGTTGCCACCCAAGCTGATAGGGTTGTTAAGAATGCATATGGTATGTTGGTTTTCATTGGCAGGGGAATTAAGTTTAAGAGCCATGAGGATATGCTGCAGCTCTATGAAACTCTGGTTAGACCACACTTGGAATATTGTGTTCAGTTCTGGTCACCTCATTTTAGGAAGGATGTGGAAGCTTTAGAGAGGGTGCAGAGGAGATTTATCAGGATGCTGCCTGGACTGGAGGGCAGGTCTTATGAAGAAAGGTTGAGGGAGCTAGGGCTTTTGTCATTGGAGTGAAGAAGGATGAGAGGTGACTTGATAGAGGTGTACTAGATGTTCAGAGGCATAGATCGAGTGGATATCCAGAGACTTTTTCCCGGGGTGGAAATGGCTATCACGAGGGGCCATAATTTTAAGGTGATTGGAGGAAGGTATAGGGGAGATATCAGAAGTAGGTTCTTTACACAGAGAGTGGTGTGTGCGTGGAATGCACTGCCAGCGGTGGTAGTAGAATTAGATACATTAAGGACATTTAAGCGACGCTTGGATAGGCATGTGGATGATAGTAAAATGAATGGTATGCAAGTTAGTTTGGTCTTAGAGTAGGATAATAGGTTGGCACAACATCGTGGGCTGAAGGGCCTGTACTGTTCTGTTCTTTTTACTGCCCTTATAATCTTCTGTGGATTTACTTGGTCCCTGCTGTTTATGCCCGATATATGCTTCCTTCTTTCTCTTGACGAAAATCTCATTTTCTCTAGTCATCCAGCATTTCCTACACCTACCAGCCTTACCCTTCACCCTGGAATATACCGTCTTCAGACTCTCATTATCTCATTTTTTTTGAAGACTTCTCACTTTCCAGCCATCCTTTTACCTGCAAATATCTCCCCCCGATTCAACTTTTGAACTTTCTTGCCTAATAACATCAAAATTGGTCTTTCTTCAATTTAGAACTTTAACTTTTAGATCAGGTCTATCCTTTTCCATAACTATTTTAAAACTAATAGAATTATGATCACTGGCCCCAAAGTGCTCCGTCACTGACAACTTAGTTATTTGCCCTGCCTTATTTCCCAAGAGAAGGTCAAATTTTGCTCCTCCTCTAGTAGGTACATGCACATACTGAACAAGAACATTTTCTTGTATGCACTTAACAAATTCCTCTCAATCCAAGCCCTTTACACTATGGCAGTCCCAGTCTATGTTTGGAAAGTTAAAATCCCCTACTATTACCAACCTATTATTCTTATAGATAACTGAGATCTCCTTACCAATTTGCTTCTCAATTTCCTGTGGACTATTGGGGTGTCTATAGTGCAATCCTACTAAGGTGATCATCCCTTTCTTATTTCTCAGTTCCACCCAAATAACTTCACTGGACGCACTCCCTGGAATGTCCTCCCACTTCAGCTGTAATGATATCCCTAATAAAAAATGCCACTCCCCCTCCTCTCATGCCTTTTTCTCTATTATTCCTATAACATTTATGCCCTGGAACATTAAGCTGCCAGTCCTGTCCTGAGCCATGTCTCTGTGTTAGCTATGATATCCCAGTCCCATGTTCCCTACCATGCCCTGAGTTCATCTGCCTTACCTGTCAGGCCCCTCGTATTGAAATAAATGCAATTTAATTGATCAGTCCTCCCTTATTCTCTGCTTTGTTCCTGCCTGCCTTGACAGTTCGACTACTCCTTTCCCAACTGTACCAGCCTCAGATTTCTTCTCACTGTCTTTCTGCCCTCCAGCCCCCATGTAGCTCGAGCAAGTCTCCCCACTAGTGTATTAGTCTCCTTCCAACTCAAGTGTAATCTGTCCTTATACAGGTCACTTTTACCCGAGAAGAGATTACAATGATCTAAAAATTTGAATCCTTCTCCCCTGCGCCAGCTCCTCAGCCACACATTCATCTGCTCCATCCTCCTATTCTTACACTCACTAGCACGTCGCACCGGGAGGTTACTTTTTAACCTCCTGCCTATTTTCCTATGTTTGCTCCTCAGAATTTTGTTCTTTTCTCTTCCTATGTCGTTGGTTCCAATGTGTACGACAACCTGCTGGTCCCTCTCCTCTTTGAGAATTGTCTGCCCCCTCTGAGATATCCTTAACCCTGACATCAAGGGGACAACATACCATTCTGATGTCTCGTTGGCTGCAGAAACGTCAGTCTGTGTCTCTGACTAGAGAGTCACCCATCACAATCGAACCTGAAGTACCCCTCACTACAATAGTGCCAGTCTTGGTATCAGAAATTTGGCTGGGAATGCTACATTCCCCGGACAGTCCATCATCCCCTACACTTTCCAAAACAGCATACTTTGTTGAGGTGGGGACAGCCACAGCAGACTTTTACACTACCTGCTTAACTCTCCTACCTTTGTTAGAGGTAACCCATCTACCCAACTGTATTGCGGTTTTTCTCCCTTCCTGAAACTGCCATCCATCACAATTACTGCCTCCTGTAAATTCCTCATTGCCTCTAACTGCCACTGCAACCTATCCATGCGTTCCAATGGGATTTGCAACTAAACGCTTCCTGCAGACATAATCATCAGTAACATTGAAATTCTCCCTAATCTCCCACACCTGGCAGGGAGAACACATCACTGTACTGAAGACCATCTTTGCACCTTAATAATCTACGGACCCAGACAATAGCACAGTCTCACTGCTGTAAATACACTGCTCTAGGATAACTTGGTACCTATGTTGTTTATTTTAAAAAAAGTTAAGTCCAGAGACATCGCAGTAAAACATGTAGGCAAAAAACCTTACCCTACTCACAATTGTAAATTTTTGAAAAAAATTAAGGTTAGAGCTTGTTCCCCTGCTGTGAGCAGTTCTCCAGAGGTCTCTCCAAGGTCAGATGTGAATTTCACTTTATTTTTCTTAGATCAAAGATCAAATTCCTATGTCCAGAAATACTTTGTAACTGAACAGCAGAGGCAGTCAGCTGTGAAAGTTCGCTGCCTGGTCAGTCAGCTGTGCAGGTTCACTGCTCCTTTTTTCACTTCCAATGCTGTACTTCTCTCTCTTCCTCCCTTTTTAATGTACCATTGTTTTAGGGTTTTTTTCGAAGTTTCAAAATCATACAACAGCTTAAAACAGTAATTACGGCTCCAGAAATTCAAGAAAATAGCTCCAATATTGGAAAAAACCTCAAAGGAGAAGCTCGTACAGCCACAATTTTGTCCTGTCCTCCATCTTGGATTAACCAGAATCCTTTATATCTTGGAAGGCTTTTCTACATGTGCCATTATCAAGCTTAAAGAGAGATGCTTGTTTGCTTTGCTTCTATAAACATATAACATCGTAAGCTGTGATCTTCCTTTCAGTGTAAAAAGATTCATGAAAATTTATCTCCCTCTTGAAAACCTGTTGTTCATCTTGACTGACTATTTCAGCTGGCTCCTACTATGTTTCGATTTTGTGATGCTTAATTGACAAAGGGAAGATGGTCAATATAAACCAGATTGGAATACGTTGATGGAATATTTTAGGATAAAACTCAAATTATTGGATGACAATATTGTAATAAGTGTTTTAAAGCATCTTTTGTATATTTATTCTGGTGCAGATAAAGAGTAAATTCTCTAACCCTGCATTTCCATCTGAGTTGGAACTTTGGGGTCTTGGGATTTATGCTTCCACCCAGAACATGGTTCTGAAGCCCCAGTAGCCTGAATTGCTGTACCCAGAGGGATGAAGACTTTGGACTGCATAGGTTTTTCAGTTTGGATTGAGTCAACTGATGTGACAAGGCATGTTTTGGTCTTATGTGGAGAGTATCTGATTTTGTTCACTTTTGGGTTTTGCGAGTGGGTTTTCACCTCAGGTTGTGACTGAGGACTTGCGGCTTCGATGCAGTCGATGATTGATCGGGTTTGTCAGTGTTTGGTTCAGATGGTCAGCGTCAGGCTCTTGCTATTGGTGTTCTCGGCTTGGAAAGGCCCGTTTTCGAAAGCTTTTCATTCAGATTCCTCCTCTGGTGAGATCAGAGCTGGCAGTTATACTGACTATGCACCCTGTTATCTCTGCAGCAAGTCTGTAGCATCTATTGTGTTCTTGATGTTCTGTTCTGAGGTTAATTAGCTTTCTGATGGTTAGTGTGTCTGTGAATGGATTTTGACTGAGGTTGAATGTCCAGTATCTCTGTAGGCCCCGTACTGTCTGTGCTGTGTAGCCAGGGTGTAAAAGCTGTCTCGGGCTAGGGTCTGTTGGTTTTGATCGATTTGCTCTTTAGAGAGGAGGTGTACATTGGGATTCCAGGCTGAACAATAGTCCCAGACAGCAATCTCCGTTCCCAGGCTTGCTGGTTGTGTTGTGTATTTCTCGCAGACTCTGTCTAGCTGTACCTTTTCTTTTAAAAAGTTTTGAAAGGGTTCTACCCAAAAACCCCAGGGTTTTGTCCATATGTTTTACTATTGGGGATTTTTGCTCCATCTTGCATGGTAGTATTTGTAGAGCAATCCCCCCATGAGTTTGTCAATATATACAGTGTGTCTATGGGGAATGAGTCAGTATTTATAGAGTGTCTCCAGTGAGTGTGGTGTGCTGTTTAAAGAATGATCACCAGGAACTATTTCAGTATCCAAGGGATTTGCTGGGGAGTTCATCCTCCTTTTACAAAAGGTCACAGGTAGGGTGCAGTACTTACTGCTCACTCACTGAGGATGCTAAGTATTTAAGGTGTCCTTGGGGACTGTGACAGTATTTGCAGAGTCCAGCGTATGATTCAATATTTACAGTGGGTCCAGGGGGACCTTGTCATTATTTACTTGGGGTCTCTGGTAATGTATCACTACTCTTACAGGGGGTGTCCAGGGAGACTGCCAATATTCACACGGTGTCCCTGGGGAGTGATCAGTATTCATAGGGAACCACTGCAACATTTTCATGGATCCCAGGCAGAGGAGGTTGATGAGTGACCTTATAGAGGTTTATAAAATCATGAAGGGTGCAGATAAGGTGAATGGCAGGCATCCTTTCCACAGAGGGGAGGGTGTAAATTTCAAGACGAGGAGGCAACTTTTTAAGGTGAGAGGAGGAAAATTTTAATAAGATGAGTGACTTTTTTAACATAGTTTGTGTGGAGGATGAATTTCCAGAGGAAGTGGTGGATGTGGGTTTAATTAGTGTTTAAAAGACTGTTGGATAAGTACATGAATAAGAAATGTTTGGAGGGACATGGGCCAAGCGCAGGAAGGTGGGAATAGTTTAGTTTGGGTTTATAGTTGACATGGACTGGTTGGACCGAAGGGTCTGTTTCCATGCTGTAAGGCTATATAACCTATTCAAGGGTGTGGGTCAAAGCATCTCTGTTACAGGCTTAAAGAAAGAAATACAAAAATTTCTTTCATGAACTCAGCATACCCTAAAGTATTTTGCAGCCAGTGGAGCACTTTTGAAATGTTTTTATTGTTTTATAGTAGGAGACATGGCAACTAATTTGTGCACAATAAAGATGCACAAATGGCAATATGATAATAGTTGGATAATTGTTTTAGTGATCTTTATTGAGGGACAAATATTATCCTGGAAAGTAGGGAGAAATTCCCTACTCTTCAAAGAAAATGTAATGAAGTGTTTGGAGTCTACTGAGAGCATATAAAGGGCCGCAGGTTGAGGCTTCATCCTAAATGGTACCTCTGGCAATGCTGTATTTAATTTGTACTTCTTCGAAGTGTAAGCCTCAGAATTCATGTCTTGTTTCTATCTCACTGCTCATTTGAGTGCGTCTCCCAGCTAGGAACTTGGTGTCAATGATTCCGTTCTGCAGTATCTGCTACTACTCAGTTTCATCAGAGATCAATATTATAGTGTTAGAGGAATCCATAGGCCTAGCTTGCATTCAGATAATAACTGCCCTTATTATTTTATTCCATTACATCTAAACATACAAAGGAAAGCTGCAGTAGTTTTCAGAAGCTCTGATGACCATCTGCTGTTCATGCTTGTCTGGTGCACATTCATGACATGAAAGATGCAAAGAAATAATTTTGTTTTATTTTTCAGACGATGAGAAAACAGCTGCCTTAGATTGCGACACCATTCTGAATTGTGGTGATAAATTGGTGGAAGATGGGTGCCTCCATGTGATTTCATTAGGATCTAAAGTAATAATGCTGCAAGTTTGGGCTGATTTGAACATAAGTGGCTTTATATTCAGGTAGAGTACTGGTTGAAGAAAATCTAATACAGGACACCTGTTTCTTTTATTAATATGGGTGAAAGAAATCTGCTATTGTTATAGAAACATTTCAACTCACTTTTCAATGCCCATTGCTGAAGTAATTAAAATATTTGTAGATTTAGATAATTGAATTAAACTATTGTAAAATGCTTGGAGCTATTCACCTTTATAAACCTCCACAATAGATTACAAAATCCATATTCCAACGCGCATAGTTAAAATTAGCACCAACCATTTTAAATTCATCTTTATTTTCTTGCTGACCATATGAACTGAATTCCTGATGAAATGTGACAATTTCTCTTTCATTGTGGTGCTGAGCGGAATTCATTTATTATTTTGTTCATGAATAACAAAGATGCAACCTGGCACTCCATATTGTATTGAGGGAGTGCTGCACTGATGGGGCATCATCTTTCAGATAGGATGTTACACCAAGTCTACCCATTCAGTCAGATATGAAAAATCCCACAGCACTATTTCAAAAGAGAACAAGAGTGGTGTCCTGGCAGTAATTATTTCTTAGCCAGAATGATTATTTATTGGCTCATTTTATCATTGTTTTTTGTGGAAGTTTGCTGTTTAAAAATCGGCTACCATGTTTCCAACATTACAATGACTACACTTCCTAAATATTTAATTGGTTGTAAATTGCTTTGCGAGTACCTTAAGGTGTGAAAAGCTCGATATCAATGTACTATTTCTTTAAACTGTACATTGCAATTTCTCAATTACTTGCTTTCTTCCTGTAGAATTTGCATTGATCCAAATGATGACTTGAAAGCAGGCCTGCTGGCACAAGCTGAGTCGCAAGAAAACATTCTAACTCCAGGAAAGTGGCAGCACTTGGCATTAACCTATGTCCAACAGTCAGAAAATAAGAGTGTTCATGGCAAGCTTTCACTTTGGATGTCTGGACAAAGGTATGTACATCTGGTTCTCTACTCGTAGCTTATCAAATAATTATGAATTTAATTTGATCACTACCTTGATCTTCTAAATTTAAAACAATTCTTTTGAGATGTGGAATTGCTAGTAAGGCCAGCATTTGTTGCCCATAATGATACAAACTGTCTAATTTTTATTTATTTTAAGTTGGATTTTTGTCAATAACATGGGCTTTCCATGTATCTGAAGTTAGTAATTAACTTGTAAGTATTTCTGTAGCCAGAGTATTTCTTTTGCAGCTATTTCTGTTATCAATCAGACCAAACCCCTTCAAAATATATCAAGGAGATATTCTAGACCCGAACTTTTCATTTTATTCAAAGGAAAATGTAAGGTGCTGTTTTCAAGTTAAAATACAACAAAAAAAAGACTTGGTATAACTTTAACTCTTATTGAAATTCTAAACAAAATAAGATATTATTTAACTACTAATCATCAACTGTTCCAAAATCACAGCATCCTATAAACACACCCTTGGCAAAGGCAAATTCAGTAAAACAGATTTTCCTCGCATGCTTGTCCTCCAGTCCAGGTGAACACTGAAAGAAACAATCTAGCAGCAAAGAGAGAACTCCAGTTTTTTGCTCCAGCAGTGAGACAGCTGACCTGTCAGCTTCAACAGCCAACTCCAAATCCAAACCCAACTGTAAGCAAAACTAAAACCCTGGGTCTATGTGAGCCTGACTGCGCCCACTCATCTGATATTTTAAAAAAAACACTTGGAGCTCAAAGCTGTTTACCCACTGTTTCTGAAGCAGACATTCTGCATCACTGTGGCCACACCTCTCTGCAAGAGAAACAGCACAGAACAAATCTCTCTTAAAGGCACAATACCGTCCCATTTGTGAGAACTACTTTGAGCACTACACAAATGGATTTTTGTTTACCATGAGGTGTTTTATGACTTTGCAAAGTGGACCATTGTGCTTTAAGGTCTGAGAAATTTCTAGACTTGAATTTTTTGAAAACTAGGATATGGTGATTCTAACAAAGTCAGCCAGGTAGACTACTTTGAATGAGTTCCCTCACTGGGGCTATTAATCTGATCCAATCAGGGAGCCCTGGCTGACATATATAAACAGGAATGTCAGAGGTTCTGTTCATCCTCAGCTGGCTCTGAGGAAGCTGGATCAGTGTCAAGAACTCTCCACGTATAAATGAAGGATGACTCAGTGACGAGATACCCAGCCTCTGGAGTTATTTCAGTGGTGATGAGAGTGGAATTAAAGGTGAAACCATGCAAAAGTGCCTATTAGCTGAAGTTCAACTAAAATGTGGCAACTGGAGCATACGAGTTGCAGGGTATTGCAATGGAAGTGGACACCCTTGCCAATCTAACTGAGCTTGGGGAACACCACTTGCATGAAAGCAAGTGCATAGCCTCACTCAGGACATTTCCTGAGCAAAGGGATTCTATGTCAATCCACAGCAAATCCCAAAACAAAGCCAAACTTTGGCCAAACGGTTAAAATTTTCTTCGGGATCCAGGCAAACCATTGTAGTCGCTTCTGGTATGCGGATTTAAGATAGCAAAAGAGTCACACTAAACCTAAACAGAGGAAGAGAACTCCTACACCAGTATCCAGGGCAGTACACTACCTGGAAAGTCTACCTATATCTGGTTTGAAATGGTTACATTGCTTAGCAACATCCAAAATAAACATCTGGTTAAATGGTCACCCGGTTCTAATGGAGGTTGATACCTGTTCACAGAACGAGTCTTTAACAAAATTTGTTATATACTCTAACCCTTAAGGTTAAATCTGATCTTTCTGGACCTTAGTGGGGTGGTGTGAAACGGCATCAGGACACAATGTCGGACACAATGTCAGACACAAGACTTGGCTAAGTGAGAGACACAGTTTACTTCAGGGGAGACATGACCAAAGTGAGGTCAGGTCCACTGACATATGAAGTTCATATGAACGGCCCTGAACAAGGAGGTGGACCTTACGAAAGCCACAAACCCGCAAATGGTGCTGGAGCAAAATGTTCCTGGTTCCTTGACTGCCTTTCTGACTGCTCTGGAACCCATGGGTTTTCCCTCTCCATTAAGCTTTGAAGATACCTCAGATTCTGAGATGGACACAGGACATCACTGCCTCGATGCTTTGCAGCCTGAAGAGGAGAATGAATTTCTTTTGAAATACTCTGGGTGCAAGAGGCGAGCTGTTGTGTATTACATGCTGCCCATCATCAGAGACTGAGTTGGAAGGGCCTGACCCGATGCTAAAATGCCCCAGGAGGAGCTGCAGAAAAAAAGAACTGGCCTATGTCCTCAGACTTAGTGGGGGAGGGATGTAGTGATTGTAATGACATCAACCAAGTAGAATCTCAGAATACGAGTTCCCTGATTGGGGTTGTCAATTTGTTCCAATCAGGGAGCCCTGGCTGACAGGTACAAACAGGGGTGTCAGAGATTCTGTTCGTTCTGAGAGCTGGCTCTGAGTAAGCTGGATCAGTGTCAAGAACTCTCCACATTTAAATAAAGGGTAACTTGGTAACAGGATACCAGCATCTGTGGAGTTATTTCAAAGAGACACCCCCATGGCTTAGAGAGATTTGTCAGTTTTACTTTGTTTCGCACATTTCTCTGAAGTACTTGGAGATAATTATATAGAGCAGTCCTCTATGGAAGGGGAGCATGTAGTAAAAATAGACTTATCTTTGAGTAAGGAGTTAGTGACAGTCATAAACAGAAATGTTGGGATAAAGCACTGAAGAGGTTACTTGAAGCTGAGTACATTCAAGCGCAGGTGTATGTTTGCTCCAGCAAGAAGTTACCAGTGTCTGTAGTCCCGGCACTAATATCATATTTACCTTACACCCACTGAGGTGTTATGAAATGATGTTTCCTCTGGTGTGAGTACTACAAAAGGGGTGATTTTGGGTACAGCCCAAAGGATTTTTTTTGGGGATTTGTAAAGAATATTTTGGAATTATTCTTTGAATTTGTTATAGGTAAATAGCTTGGTTTATTTTTTTTATTATTCTGTTTGCTTAATAAACAATTGTCTTGTTAAAACAAAATCTACAACATTGCCTGCTTATGCTTCACTGAGAGACCAGCTTGATAAAACTAAAACGCAATAACGTATAATTTTTCAAGCCAGGTTTCAGTCTGGAATCTGATTTATCCAGTAGTAGTATAAGTTGGATCATGACACCATTCCTAATTGCCCTTGAACTGAACAGCTTGCAAGGCCACTATGTAGGGTAGTTAAGAATGAACCACATTGCTGTGGGCCTGAATTCACATGTAAAGTAAGACTAGTGGATTTCTTCCCTTAAAGACATTTGAGCCAGGTGGGTTTTATGACAATCGATGATAGCTTCATGGTCCCATTATTGAGGCTAGCTTTCAATTCCAGGTTTATTAATTGAATTTAAATTCCACCAGCTATTGTGATGTTAAATAACTGGTTGTAATGATGTTGATTACAGCCAATGAGAGTGAAATAAATCTAGTCCATGGAAGTGATTTGTTCTACCTCCTAAATGCTTGGTGGCTCAGTGGTTAGCAGTGCTGCCTCACAGCGCCAGGGACCCAGGTTTAATTCCACCCTCAGGCGATTGTCTGTGTAGAGTTTGCACATTCTCCCTGTGTCTGCATGGGTTTCCTCCCACGGTCCAAAGATGTACAGGCTAGGTTGATAGGCCATGCTAAATTGCCCATAGTGCCCAAGGATGTTTAGGTTAGGTGGGTTAGGCATGGGAAATGCAGAGATGGGGGAATGGATCTGGGTGGGATGCACTTCGGAGGGGTGGTGTGGACTTGTTGGGCTGAATGGCCTGTTTCCACCCTGTAGGGGTTCTATGAAAAATGCTGCACTGATTTGAATTCATTTAACTCTTAACTATGTAAGAAAGGATACTTTTGATCTCCATGACCATTGCATGGCAATCTTTTAAGTTTGCTTCTGATTCTGTTAAACTGGCTTGATGCAACTTGAAGTTCTCAACATCTCAATAAACCATTGATTTTACAAATTGAATTGTATCCTTGAAGCCACCTCTATTTATATTACTGCATTCAAAGAAAACAATGAGGTGTTGGCAAGTGTGGCATTAAGATGGTGGCATCACCAGAATGCTTGAATCACAATGTAAGAACTTCATGAATGTCGGTTTCTTTTCCTTACATAAGAGAATTTTATGGGGAGATTTAAATATCATGAAAGATTTTGATAGGACAAATAGATAAAACTGTTACCACTGGCACAATGGCCTGTAAACCGAGGGGACAAATTTAAAATAAATGCCAAAAGAACCATGAGGATTATTTTCCTCAAGTTGATTATGATATGGAAAACACTGTTTGAAAGAATGGTAGCAGATATGGTAGTAGTTTTCAAAAGGAAATTAAATAAATATTTGAGAGGCAAAATGTTTTGGGAATAGGGAAATAGCGCAGAGCAATGGTGCTAAATTAGATAAGCTCACTAAAGAACTGGCACAGAGATAATGAGCCATAGGGTCTCTTTCTCACAATGTCTATTGTAAGGGCTGTATCTTTTCATTTTTTGTGCTTTTAAAAATTATGAATTGAAATAAGAAGGAACAGTTTTAAAGTCAATATTTTAAAGGATTGCTGCATGTTTGAAAAGCTACACAGCTGACAGTCATAGCTAACATGATTTAAACAGTAATTGAAGGTGAGTCTTTTCAAACAAATTGAAGCCGAAGTAGCATTTACAGATGGAGTTTCACTCAGCAATAAGAGGTTGATTCAGCTATGGACTACTTGTTATCAGTGACAAGGGCTTTTTTGTCTGGTAACAATTATGTAATTGGTTCTCGGCTAACTGAACAGCTGGGAACAAGATGTCAAGACGCCATCAGGTCTTCATTCAGCCCAGAGTTAGTAAACCACTTTAAACCTAAAGAAAACCCATTTATCTTTCCTTTAGGAATTGTTGTAAGTTGTAATTTTGAGTTGATAAGTGAACACTTAGCACCATATAATTATCTCCAA